TTCTCTTCTCTGCTTTTTTGGAACTAAATTGGTGGTCTTGGTTCAAATTCTGTGATGTAGGGGCTTGTTTTTTGTTTTGGTTTCGAATGGCCTATTTTATTTTAAAAGTCATAATCATGTTGGAAATCATTTTCTTATTCTAATTGTTTAATTATTTTGTGAATCACTGTATCAAAAAATAGCTGTGTATTGAAACTCTGGAAGCACTTCATTCATTTAATGGTCACCTAGATTGGAAATAGGATATTTAGTTTAGTTGCTGAATTTTCATCGAGTTGATGGGTATCTAATAACTAGAGAATTTGGGCAAGAACTTTATCACCTTCCCGGCCATCTAATCAACCAAGTGCGAAATAACACGTTGACTCTATATGGTGTGGGGTTGAATAGAGTTCAAAGCTTCACAAATGCTCGGAAAACAAAGTGATAAGAACAACGAATATTTTGACTCTAAACCACTTCCAGCTTTCACAAGTATTCTTTAAACAGCCACTCCTACCTACAAATAAAGTTTGATAATGGTTCTAGGAAAAACTCTCTTACAAACTTGTTTGATAGAGAACTAACCTTACTAGGTGAAGGGTATATGGCAATATGTTTTTCTCAAAGACTAGATGGTCTAGTTAACAGTCTAGCTGATACTACTCTATATTCTTATGGGATTTATGAAGACTATTTTTGCATGCAAATTTTGTAGTTTTTGTGTTTGTGGTCTTTGGTCTTTTATAGGCTTCTTTAAAGTATCTGTTGAAGAATTTGTTCAATATTTGATTGTTTATTGATGCAAATCTTATTGCGATCTTTGATTGCTAATTTTTCGTGTTGTCCAATACTCTGCTTCGCTAATCTTTTGATTTGACGTATTGTTATAAACATAAGAGATATTATATTTGGACCAGCAAAAGAACCCTTAGTAGATGAACCATGTTAGATTAAAACATATGAAGACATTCTTAATGATTTGGTTTTAGATTTTTAAAATTACTATGGGTCCTTTCAAATTATAACTCATTGGATGCTGAATTTAATATGATAAATATATTGATGAGTCTGGTTAAGATTTTTAGTGATTGAATTTATTTGTTACAATTTTGCATGTAGGGACATCCTATAGATTTCAGACTTCGTCTAACAGTTTGAGAATTCTTATTTTATACGGATATATGGTAGGATGGTCTGCTGTTCTTGAACATAGAAAGTCAATTTATTTGAAGTTCTATTATTGTTTTAGTTTAATGATGATATGTATTTCTTATTACTCAAAACATATTTTAATTAGCTATTAGTAATTCAAAACTTAATATTATTTATTATAGTGAAAACACTTAAGTGTATGGATCATCCACTATATCTGTCTAGAGTGTTTTAGACTAGACCAACCGGAATTAACCAAATGTTTTCTTACACAAGTTATGACTTTCAAGAATATTACAAAAAGCTTTTGCCTCTTGTATTTTACAGTAGATTATTATGAGTTTGAAATAATAAATCTTTGAGGACTGCGAATTGCTTCAGGCTTCAGGCTGGTGTAAAGCTAACTGCTAGTGCTTACAGGTACTTAAAAAGTTCGGTGTAGAAAAATTTGATCCTACGAACGAGCCCTTTGATCCACACAGACATAATGCTGTCTTTCAAATCCCTGATGGTTCTAAGCCTCCAGGAACCGTTGCAGCTGTTCTGAAGGTAATTTGCATAATTTTTAGTAAGGACTATGATTTGCTTTTTTTCCTATTTTATAATTTCATTTAGACCCTTATAACTGTTTAGATCCTTAAAACTGTTGGTACGAAGTGTTATTTTGGATGTATGAAGCATGGGTACTAAAAGGTTATTGGCATATCTGTTCATTTATATTTGATACTATTACTTCTATTATTATGCCACATTTCTATTTGTGATGTTTTTGTATCTTTTCTATTTGAAAAATCTGATATAGAAATCAATGTCATGTTCTCATTTCAGACCCTTCACTTCCTAGAGAAGCATTTTCTCACTATTGCAATCGTATGGCATAGCTACTTTAATCCTTTTCAAATGAGTTAGAAAAAAATATGAACTGCGCAAGTCCAGTGACAGTGCATGAATAAATTTAATTTTTTTACAGATATAAGTTTATTTATTTAATATATTTTACCATAATATATGTATTTTTTGTTCAAATAATCGTTTTGGTTACGGGAGGAGCTAGAAACTCTTTTTTAACGTGCTTTCTATTATTGGATTGATTTCTTGTTGACTTTTGGTTACATTAAATAGCTCTAGTACACTAGAGGGTTTCAAGGTCTGATTTGATTTTTTCGATGTTTTAAGGCAAATTTGATGTTTTTTAAAGCTAAAGTCGTATGATAGTTTCCATTTTTGAACCAGAATTTAATGTTTGCATGTCTGGTTTGTTTTTTTATTGGGCTGTTTGCTTATTTACGGAAACTGAAAAGATGAGTATAAAAGCTATCTATCTTATGGTTGTGTTTGCAGGCAGGATACATGCTTTATGATCGTGTCATTCGCCCAGCGGAAGTTGGTGTGACGCAAGTGAAGGAAGATTAGGGTTCATAGAAGTGATTCTTTCCTTCGCACTACTATTTTTCATCCCTTTCACAAGCCCTGCAATTTACATTTTCCAACTAGTTAACAATTTTTTGTCATAAAAAAGTGGCAAAATATCATGACATTTTTTAACAATTTGTTGTTCATTAGAGCAATTTTGTCATTAATATAGATTTTGATAATGTTTGGTGAGGTCAACATACAAATTTGTACAACAAATATTCCGAACATGTATCATAAATTAATTGTCATATCAATTACTTAACACAAATAGTATTAACATGGTATAAAATGATATTCACTTCGTTATATTAAATTAGAAAATTTAAAATTGTTAATTAAAATATTTAGAAAAAAAAAACTCTTGAGGACTAAATAATTGACAACACTGTAGTCATGGCATAGTCGCAAACTCTTTCGGTGCAGGTAACTGTTTCTTTCTGTACCTTCCTTTTTTCTTCCTGTACCCTATAGATGAGACAAAACTACAGATTTACCCTTGTACTTTTTTGTTTGTCCAACCCTATCCCAGCAATGGCGAACCACTCCTCCACAATCTGCGTCTTTACAAAGACAAAAGAAACAACTAATGAAATTCATCTCAAACACTTTTGGAGCATCACCTCATACATATTTATAGTAAAATTCAAATTCAAAAGTTATCCAGTTAAAATGATTTAGAGTATTTATTAGAGAAATACTCTAGGGCTTCATCAAACTTGAAGGAATTGGAGGACCTTGGTTGCACCATTATTCACAAGGTGGATGCCCGTACTATGAGCGAACATCATCATCTTATAGCCAAATATTTTGATCGGATTGTCTTCAATTTCCCACTTTATGGAATTGTTTATCATGAGTAAGTAATCTACCAGATTCAGTCTTTTTTTTCCTTCTATCAATGAAGAGTTTTTATCATACTAAAATACTTGGGCTACTCTAACTCATACGCAGAATTTACAAACATAAGCATGTTCATTAGCATGTTATGGTTTTTGTTTAACAATAGAGCATAATGAATTTGTACCGAATTTTACAACATATGCTTTCATGTTCCTCAAACCCCCCCTTTGTATCCTTTGTTTTCTCCTGCCAGAGATTTCAGTAAGCTGTTATATATAATAAAAATGAAAAACATTTATGATTACAAATTTTGATGTATCTATGTTCAACTCAGTCTTCACAGGATTTTGGTGTCTGGATTTTTCAAGAATGCAAGAAAGATGGTCACCCAAAATGGAGAAGTTCTTGTGACACAAAAAAGAGCTCAATTGATGAAACTTTTCAGTTTGGCTTTCAAAGAAAAATTGCTATTTTTTGGGTCGATTCCTTTTAATGAAGAGGACTATCCTGGTTACGTTAATAAGAAAGGACATGGAAAGAATGCGACGAAACGTTTCCAATTGGTGATTCTAGAACCTTCAAATTTCTGCGTGATGTGGATTTTCCAGATCTTGGAGTTTAAAAAGTTTCGATTTGATCAAGAAATTAACTTGTTGCAGATATCTATTTTGTCATGTTTTAGTAAGTTGTTCGAACTCATCCTTTTGAAAATATATATTAGGTATGTGTTAAGTCCAAAACAATGTTGATGGACAAAGTAGGTTTCTGTCGTTTATTTGTCTAGTTAATTAATTATTCTGTTGGTTATTATTTTTCCTTCCTTTTTTTTAGTTTAATGGTGAATACGTAGTATAATATAAAATGAAGTATGTTTAATCCATAAAATAGTTATGGATCTCGTTTTATAATTTTGGAAGAAAAATATAATGGAATGTTTTCTTTAAAACATTGAAATTGAAATTCAAAAGAAACAAAAACTATATAAAAATATGAAATTCAGAAGAGGAAATCAGCTACTGTAGGGTTTCGTAAATTTTACTTGCATCATATTTTTTGAATATATGAGCTTTAAAAGTTAATATAAAATTATATGTACAAAATATAAAGCTAATAAAATTATATGTTGTTCTGTTTATGTAAATATTCAAATTTTTACATCTAGTATATTTTTTTATATACATTTTTTGAAAGTGGCACTATCAATAAAAGATTATTTGACATGCTAACTAATAATATTTATTAATTGTGCCACGCGACAAGTGTTTGAAGGATGCGTTTCATTTTATACAGAATTATGGTTTATTTATATTTAGTATGAATTTTACTGCTGGAAAATCAAACTGTTTTACTTACCTGCAGATCAAGTGATGAAGTCACTTAAGATTTATATATTATATATTCATTTTATTTTAATCGATACGGATATCTAATGATTAATATTTTAAAAGTATTCACATTAATATAATATTCATTTTTATTTATATAAAATACAAAATATGGTTCGTATGACATTACTATATTCTTATTTAAGAATATACAAAGATTAACAATCACTCAACTAAATATATCATACAAGAATTTCAGCCAAATTTTGGGAAAAATAAAATAAATTAGGAGGATTCTATTGGTAAGTTGTCAACCCATCCATCCTTATTAATAAAAGATGCTAAAGAAAATTGTTCTATTTCTGAAGTATTTAGCTTTTTCATCCATGAAACACGATTTGAGGTATCAGCTCCTGGTCCTCCACAATCAACTTCAACATAAGTGATTCCACTCCTACAACAATTTAGTCATCACAAATTAATAAAAAAATGAAGAAATACTTAAAATATAAAATATCATTACATACCCAAAAACATCTTTTTTTAAAATTTATAAAACCATGGAATAATGACAACACTTTTTCATTTTCATAACAAGAGATGTAATATCCATTTAAACTTACTCATTGCCTGCATAATGCCAAGCACTCCATCCATGAGGAGTTACAATGGAAGAAAAATATGTTTTATGAAATATGACTCTTGAATAGGGTTGCCATGCTCTTCCTAAATTCACTTTACCATTCCCACCAAGGAAGCCTCCTTCAAATACAAAACCATCTGGATCATCTGATGAACTTCGTCCCTGAGCTGTCACAAACCCTGCAGAATCTGAAAATCTTCCCAATACATTTATCCTACAGTTCTGCAGATTATAAAAACACACAAAAAAAAAGAGAATGTTTTGAAAATTATCTACCTCAACCATATATGTAAAACGGATTTAAAAATAATTAATGTAATTTACCTCATAGTAAGATTGTCCACTGCCATATATAAAGTCCACTTCACCTTCAATGTAACAATCTTTGAAGTAATGACGTCCATATTGATCGTATAAAGTGTCTTGATAACCCAAAAAACTACAATTATAGAAGAAATATTTATCTCCATGCAGTCTTGCTGCATTTGCTGGTTCGATTTCGCTTCCCACAGGGTAATATTTGTATCTTTTAGTTACCACATTATACGAGTTCTGCAGATACATAACAATATATCAGAGCTATGAAAACTTTTGTTGTATAGTTTATTTATATGTTAATTAACCTTGAAAGTAATTCCACTTGCAATCACATTGGATGGTAAAGAAGTAAACGTGGCGCTATGGTTCATTGATATGTGGTCTGAGTAACTGATGGTTGTTGTCGAACTACCCTCTCCTTCTAAAATTATACATGGCTTTTCTTTCGGAATAGTAACCCTTTCTCTGCATAATTACAGTATGTGAATAACTAATATACATGATTATAAAAATGTCATGAGAGAAAAGAAGTTACAGTAAGATGTTTTTTCAACAAGGTAATTTCAACATTAATACAAGAAGGAAAAAAACTGAGATTGGATTCAAATATATTTCTTACATTATAGCCATATATACTATTAAACCTGACAAATTCTGTGGTAGTTCTTTAATTTGGATGTAACGAGTTTGAGTATTCATACTTATCAAAATCAGAAATGCAAAATCCTAAGTCAATTTAAGTGTAATGCAAGAATAATGCTTGATGAAAGTATGTACCAAATGTGCTTGGTTGTATTTTAAGCTTTTGATGATTAATTAATGTTTATAATTATTAAATTAGTTTGTTAGAAATAATGCTTAAAAATTAATTTATGAGTGATAATAATTTATATTATATTAAATATTAAATATTTCTATTCTTTAAATAACATAATAATAATAAAATTTAATTTTAAAAAAGGTGGGGTAGCAGGTCAATCCGTTTTGACTTAGCTTTGACCCTCCACTTTCACATATTATGAGTCAAAACGAATTTATGAGCTAATAATTCAATCCAAACCTACCAAATTTTGACAATCTAAACTTATGAGTCATGTTCTACTCTGTCAACCTTATGTAAGTTAATTGGTACGAGGTATATTGTCGGAGAGATTTTTCCACTATTTTTTCAGAATGGTGTCCTAATCTTATTAATTCAACGTAAAACCAATTTAAATTATGCCATGCATGAAACATTCATTGCTTTTTCATAACAGAATATGATTTGAACTTACATGTATAAGCCTGCTTGAATATGAATCTTGATCCATTTATCATTGTCGTTTTCTACAGAATCAATGGCCTCTTGAATTGTACTAAATGCTGCGTCCTCTTGTTTACCGACAATGATGGTTTGCGTAACATTGTTTCCACCACAGTCTGTGGCTTTACCAAGACAGAAGAAACAACTGATGAACAATATTAGAAGAAAACTCATAATTCTAGAAAACGATTACATGATAATGTTGAAATCATATAAACATCCCTTTTAATACAAACAAATGTGGTCAGTATCTCAAGTCTCTTTTTATGACTTAAAATATTTAATTCATTAATTGCTTACTCAAATTATTTCAAATATTTTAATTTAATTTCCCTCACAATTAATAACTTTCTTAATAAAATCTAACTATCACAGTGGTTTATGAAAGAAGAAAATGGATCAATAAATATGAGATGTTACAATACAATGTTAATTAAATACATTAATTATTTTATTCAATAAATATGGAAAGAAAGTCTACTAACTAAAAAAAAATAATATTTTAGTGGTAATAATCTTTTTTTAAATTAATGAGACTCTGTGAATTCTAGACGAACTTTGAAATTTATTTCATTATTTTATCAATTCTGAAATAATGTTAATTTCACTGTTTCAATCTTTCAACTAATCTTTACCATTATAACTTTCCATTAAATATTTACGCGGAGATCCTCTACATATTTATTTTTATATTTTTGATTTTTTCATTAAATTACACTAATTATTTTTCTAATTTTATTTTTTTAAAATTTGACTATATTTTTATTTGAACGTCTTTTTCAAACTTAACTACTTTTTTAAACTAAAATAATTATCTATAATAAAAGTATTATTTATAAAATAAATAAAAATTTATATATCATTATAAAAATTATTTATATTTACTTTCATAATTATAATAGTAGTTTTTTTTATCATAAAAAAGTTGAAAACACTTTTTTATACTATTATAAAAATTATTTATACTTATTTCTATAATTATAATAATAATAATTTTATTATTTTTATCATAAAAAAGTGAATGCAGACGCGCCAGAACAAGTGTTTCTACTAATTTTAATAAAATGTTTAATTATTTTCATTTTAGATTTATTTAATAACTTTATGTAACTTTTCATTTATATATAACATTTCAAAAATGATAAAAGGTTATATTTAAATCTATAATCTAGAATTTTAACTACCTGGTTCTTGATTTTTAAAACTAACTATTTTTTTATTTTCTTATATTTTCTTTCTGTTCTTTCTAGTTTTTAAGTTATTATTTGTCTTTTTTACCTTGAACAATTTCATCCGATAAATGACTTAGACTACACCAGGTCTATGTGATCAAAATTTGCACTTGGGTAAATTTCTTCTTTATTCTATTTTTTTTCCCTTTTTCTTATTCCATTTGTGAGTATTATCAGGGTTTTAAAGGTTCATTAAGTTGATAATTCTTTATTCTTATCGGTCTATTTTCTAGTTTGGACGTACTGATGCTGGAAAAGTAAACAACAGTCATATATAAAGAGAGCTAAACTAAATATATGATTTTTGTTTTGGACAATATTCTATGTACTAAAATTGTATATAGATACTTGAATGAGGAAATTTTGATATATATAGTGTGTGATTTCAAATAATGAGTATGTTATTTGAAACTTAATTGGGGTATTGAAAATACATTTGAACAATTAATGATAGTTTTGAGTGTTTGTATACATTGTTATTGATATTTAATAAGGGCTAGAAAGAATAAGTGAAATTGAATTGAAAATGACGTTAATCGCTCTGAGCATATTTATTAGAATACTTTTGGTAAATTGTTATCCCATCCATCCTAATTGGTAAAAGATCCAAAGGAAAATCCTTCCATTTATGAATGACTTAGTTTCTTTTTCCACGATACACACTTTGAAGTAAAATTCAATCTGCAACCTATCTGAGTATTTATTTTAAAAAAACTTGTTAGTATTTTAAAATCTCCGTAAATATTAAAAAAAATATAATTTTTATATTTTTAAAATAAAATTTAAATAAAATAATAAAAAGTATATAAAATTCAATATAAATTAAATTAAATATAAATTAATATTTAATTTTAATTAAATTTAAACTAATAAAATATAAAATAATTTTAAATTAAATTAAATTAAATTAAATATAAATTAAATTATCATTTTTATTTTTTGAACTATTGATTTACGTAATTGGAAGTAACCAACTAAGTTTACGACGAAACCTAGAAATCGATCACTGATCCAATTGGAGTACCTCTACAGGATAGACCTCAACATAAAACTGAAGATTAACTTCAGCAAGTGATTGAGTTCAGTAGTTCCTCATATAAAATTATTGACTCTATAGATATAGTAATATGGAGAAGACAAAATTGTTTCAAGCACCGACAGAACCGGAAGCACCCTTTGTTTCAAACAGAGGAGGTAACGAGTACTTACACGTTGGGTAATATAATATTTGCATGCAACCCGTTTATAAATGAGTATTAAAATACCCGCTACTTGCAACCTGTAGATAATAAATTCTCACGGATACTAACTATCCCTTGTGAATTTTATCTGTGAGTATCTTCTGACATGAGTTTTTTTGTCATCCCTAATTGTTGCAGATAAGATTATACTTATATTAACTTCATAATTTTAAGTAAGGTAAATTGAATAAACATTTATGACTAAACTTTTTCAAATAGTATTATTATTAATTTAAGGAAAATAACTACATTGACTTTTTTCATCATAAAAAAACACTTCATTAAATTAAAAAAATATATTGAAATAAAAAATAAATAAAGTTTAAATGTAAAGAACAAATTATTCATTAAGCAAGATTATTCATATTAAATACAAGTATATTTCTTTGTTGAGTTTACAAAGATTAAGAATGAGTCAAACCAATGTAGTTATTAAGATAATATTGGTAAGTTGTCAACCCATCCATCACTATTGATAAAAGATGCAAAAGAAAACTTATTCAAGTCCGAAGGACTTAGTTTCTTCATCCATGCAACACGCTTAGAAGTGTTAGCTCCTGGTCCCTTACAGTCAACTTCAGCATAAGTGGTCGTGCTCCTATAATAGTTTAACAAAAAAAATAATCAAACATATAAAAAAATCACTTAAAATATAAACCAAACTACTATTTTTTAATATAAATATGAATTTTGAAGGTTTTTTCTAAGGCCTTGTTCTTTTGAGTAGATTTGAGAGAATGAATTTGAGGGGATTTGAGAGGATTTGAAGATAATTTTTTTTGTCGTTTTTTTGAACGAATTTGAAGATAAATGAGAGTGAATTTGAAAATAAAATTTGTGAGAATTAGTATAGAATTTTATTGACATGACAAATTAAAAAAAAATATTTTCAAATTCACTCTCATTTATCTCCAAATTCGCTCAAAAAAACGACAAAAAAATTATCTTCAAATCCTCTCAAATCCCCTCCTCAGATGCATTCAAAAGAATAAGCTCTAAGAGACATATCTATTTAAACTTAAAAAATGTTTTTTTAACAATTTTTTTACAACAACACATTATATTTTATAATTAATAGTAACACGTAATCTATTATAAAAAATTTGTTAGAAAAATTTGTCAGTGATCCTTAAACTTACTCCTTTCCGACAGCTGACCAAGCATCCCATCCTTGAGGAGTTACAATGTCAGAAAAATATGTATTTTTAAATATGACTCTTGCATAGGGTTTCCATGCTCTTCCTAAATTCACTTTAACT